ACAGTAGCACAGAAATCTCCCTAGATGTTCTAATAAGAAAACCCTGTATTGAAGGTGAGGTAGTCAGAATCAATAAGGAGGGCTACACCATTTGCCTTGAAGAGGTACAACTGCCCTGCGTCGGGAGCGTGGCTACAGGAACACCATATTTGTGGAAACAGGACCTTGATCCATACCACACAAACAAGAGAATGTAGTCATGGCTATCAGAGAATTTCTGAGAACATATAACCCCTTACGTCTGGCCACCTAACACCCCAGACAGCAATCCCTTGAGCAATCACAGTTGAGGGAGAAACCAACAAAATTCCTTGTAATACCAAATATGAATTGAAGGCAAGGATTATGGCAGCTTTCACCAACTTAAACAAGAAGTCCGTCCTGAAGAGTTGCAGGAGATTCCGAAGTCTTCTTCCGGCTGTGGTTGAATCCAATGGTAATTCTACTGAATAAATTTACTTTTTAGTATTTCAAGATACTTTTTGTGAAATGTTGGTAAATATATCTGTCAAAATGAGATGTCAGTGTCATTTTCATTTTTGCCTCATTCAGACGGCAATTATTCAATCTATCTCAGTCATTATCAAGATCTGGGTGTCGTCTGAATCCTAACATCTTTTGGAAAGCTGAAATTCAAATTAAACCAAATATACGCGCAAGTGACAACATAAAACTAGACCCCACCAGAAAACATGCATGAAATGCTTTTTATCTAACACACACACACACACACACACACACACACACACACACACATATATATATATATATATATATATATATATATTGTGTGTGTGTATTTAGGCAGCATTTTTTCATTCATACATGTTTCATTAAATAATATAGACAAGTGTTGTCTATTTATTTTATGTTAATTCTTTTCATAACGTCTGATAAGCTTAATAACATTATCATTAAACGAAGAAAGAAAATCACAATATTGATACATATTTTTAAATCCAATCTAAGCTTTCGGATTACATAAGCCGTTATCAAAGAAACATCATTGTCTTGTCCTTATATTGCTTAACATATTGCACAGTAATTGTCATCTTTGGGCGTGGGTTTAATTTGTTCGTGTGGTTTTTTGATAATTTTCCTGTTGTGCTTTTTTATTATTTTTGCCATGTTTTCGGTGCAAATGTAGCTGATTTTTACTGTGTTTTTGTTGAATATTTTGTGTAGGGTGCTTGATTCCGGGAAGTGTTTGTTTAAGAGTATTTCTTTTCCTGTTGGCCTTTTTTGTGTTCTGTGGTGAGTATGTGAGTATGGGAATCCGCTATCTTTTATGGCTGTTTCATAGCCTTTCTTAGCTTTGTTAAATATGGATTCATTGGAGGAATTGTCGGAAAGCCTGCGGTTAATCGATTTTGGTATCTGTTTGATTATAGAAGGCGGGTGGTTGCAAGGTGTGTGTCTATAGAGTGGTTTATCATTGCGTTTTCTATATGGTTTATATGCGCCTTTTGTTAGGTTGAAGGTAGCATTTAGAAAACTACTTCGTTTAGGTTAGTTTTTATATCTATGTCGAATCCGTTATTTTAAAAAAAAATTATTATTGCTTTTCTAGTTTTGTCTGTTTTGTTTGTTACAGTTTCTTAAGATTATGAGTTCGTCGTCCCTGTAGAGTCCTGTGTCATTTCTATCTATTATTTTGCTTAGTTCGTGTAGTAAATAAATACCTATAATTTCGCATGATCTGCACCGTCAAAGCTTCCCATTGTTGTGTCAAATATCCCATCTTTCTTTATCCATGCTTCTTCATTGTGGAATAATAATGATTTACGGGAGTGCTTAATGATGTCGATTTCGCTTGGTTTTATTATTATTTGTTCCTGAGCTAAGTTGATGGCCTTATCTAACACGCGTTCTGTTATGGATGGGTAAAATTCTTTTATGTCTAATTATAGGAATTGGCAGTTTTGTTTGTTATTTATGCTGTGGAACCAGTCAATAGTTGCTTTTGTGTTTTTCCACTAGTTTACTCCTAAATTCTTCCTAAGTTCAGAATTAATTCTTTCTAGTATTGTTTTACTTATTTTACCTAGTTCGCTTTTGGCTGGGTTTATGAGTCTACATGTAGGCTCTGTCTCTGATATTGAGCCCTTTATCCCATAAATATAGCACATCTTAAGACTATATTTCTTCATATATATATATATATATATATATATATATATATATATATTTATATATTTTATTTTATATAAAATATTTTATGCACCCTTTAAAATCCTGTAATCCTTGATGAAATTATTTTATTTAATGTGAGATTCTTTTGTATTGTACTAACTGCTAGAATTCTGAGTTAACCCACTCCATAGAATACTTTGGTATTATCTACCAATATTTTACTTGTGTCAATAATTGTATTTTCGTTGGTAGTAATATTGCACTAAGTTCCGATAAGTTACAAGTCAAACTATGAGAGATTGTAATATTTGTTTGCCTATTGCAAGTATATATCAATCATCACATCATAAAAAAAAAAAACGAAACAAAATATTATGTGATAATTTTTAGTAAATAATCTTAAAATACTATATAAGTTTAAGGCCATATCAT